CCGATCTCGTTTTGCCTCCTTCCCATCGCACTTGGTAGATGGGCGATCAGCATCGGGTCTTCGATCCTGATCGTTGTCAGGTCGTCGGTCTTGATTGTTGTCAGATCGTCGTCCCAAGCTATGTGGCTCCGGCACGTTGCACTCACCATCTTCCCACACCTTTCTCACGTCGAGGTACTACAGAAGAAAAAACTGCAAAATCTGATCCAATTTATCGTAATCGATTAGTTAACATGGTGGTTAATCGTATTCTGAAACCAAAGGGCCGTGAGAGTGCGATAATCATCGGTGTGGTGGATGTGTGCCTTATGGTATTTGCACCACGACTTCTTGCTCTCGGAATCCTTAGCGCTTTGCCGATCCCAGATGTTTCAGCTTGACTGTCGAGCGACGGTGTTGATATTCTTGTGGTTTCTATCGTTCCTGTCGTAGTGCTGTTGAGGCTCCTGATGGTTATCCTGATTCGACAACCAGAGTTTCTTGTCGCGTGAAGTTTTCTCGTTGGCCAACTTGGCTTTGGCCGCCTTGTACTCCTCGTGTCTGATGTAGCCGTTTGCTTTATGCAAAGCATCTTCTAGCGTCTTATTTTTGCCAGTCTTCAACCTTTCGCAGTACGACTGGTCGTCTCTCAAATTTCTGATCAGGATGTTGAGAGAGAGAGAGTTTGTCCAGCAAGCTGCATCGGGAGACTATGGACCGGAATCTATTGATGTAGTCGTGCAACGGCTCTGTATCGCCCTGGATGCATGCTCATAGATCTAGTGCTGTAGATTCCGCATCGATGTAGATCGAATAGTGCTTAAGAAAACGACTTGTGAGTTCCTTGTAACTGTCGATGGAATTCGGAGGGAGCTGTGAAAACCAGGTGATGGTGCTTCCAGAGAGCGACTCCACAAAGTACTGACAGAGGCACGCATCTCGCTCTTCGTCCATAAAACGAGCTCGTCCCATGACTGCGTTAAACGCGGTCAGATGTCGCTTTGGGTCGGTCGTGCCAGTATAGCTGGGAGGCAGTTTCATGCGTCCAATGTCCTTGAGTGGGGCTTTGATGATGACCGACATGAACGGTGTCTGCTGCATCTGCTGGAGTATTTTGTCTAACTTTAGGGCCGAGGTCGTCGCCTTATTGACCTTGGTATTTATGTCGTCAAGGCGTTGATGGAGAAGATCTAGCTCGGAGGCTGTCGTTGGATTGGCACCTGAGGTGTTTCGGGACGAACGGGCATTGGAACCTTCTACATGTGCCCTATGTAGATCGTCTGTTGGTGTGGTGCCGAACAGGTTATTCACCAACCTCGTCGTTTCCAGATTGTGGATCGGCCAGTGTCGAGGCGTGGTCCGATCGGCCGGTTCTTGGGTATGAATCCTAGCGTTGAGAAATCGATCTAGGTCTTTACGGTAGGCGATCTGTTCGGCGCGGAGGGACTCGAACCGAGCATCCATGCCCTGTTGTAGCTGAGTCGTGACCGACCTGATGAGACCGGCCATGTCGATGAGAGGTGGCTGTGGCAGGTCGGTCTGGTTCCCTCCACCAGTTGGGCCGACCTTTTCCACCTCAGGGGTATTCTGCGCAGCAGCCATGTTGTCCGTCTGCAGATGGGTCTGGTTAATCACCGGCAGTCCGGTGATTGGATCGATGATGGGGTTCTGGGTGTTGCTACTGGTGAGATCGGCGGCTCCTCCAGTAAGGTTGGTGGCTCCTTCGGTAAGGTTGGTAGTATCAGAGTTGATAGGTGTTTCAACCATCTTCAAGCTCCGCTTTTCTTTTAAAGATTTAATCTCCTAATCCGCACAGACGGCGCCAACTGTAATAACTCAAATCCGATCTAAAGATTGAACAAGAGTTTGTGGGTTTTAAAAAGAGATCTTTTTATTATGAATAGCCGGAGCATGAAAGTACACAGAGGTTTTAGGTCGTCGGAGTAAAGACGGTCGATCTAAAATAGTATGAAAGTAATTTGAGAGCTTAAAACTTAGCAAGTTTGCCCTGGGTCTCGAGAGAGGATTTTCGGATGGATTGAGAAGTCGAAGACTTCCTATATTTATAGCCGATTAGGTCGGTCTTCTGGAGATAGCTATGTATCCGAAATAGGAAAACTTCCCTTGCCGATAAAGTCAATCTCCCGTCATTTCTGGATTTAGACCGATAAATGGAAGATTGCCATTTATTTGACCGACCTGAATATTCTTTGGGTTTCCAAAATAGACCGACCATAATTTATATCAGACTTTTAGAGATGATACGAATTTCATCTCTAACAACTATACTACTATAAAGTATATATAATAAAAAAAATTAACAATTGATTAGGTTTCAGCTATATCATTGGCCTGATGATATACATGAGATTTTTCTTAAAATAAAGGCTACACAATGATAATAATGATTAATCAAAAATCTCAAAACATCTATTTATCTATGTATCTATCTATTTATCTATTCTAATATGACAAGGTTTTTTTAGGAAAAGTTTTGATATGCTACCACATAGACACTACAAAAATTGACATGTATCAACTATTTATTCTATATAGTTAAATAAAAACTGGTTGGTGAAAAAAACAAAAACAATCTATTGCAATAGAAATTCTACAACAATCTTTAAATAACAAGAACAATACAACAATTTACTAACACAATTTACTTCTATTACCACAAAAAATCTCGATAGAATATATATCATAAGCATTATACTATCTATCAATTATAAAGAGAAAAGTTTTTGTTCAAGAGAAACTTTGATATGCTACAATATGACACTTCAAAATTTGATATATATCATATCTTTATTTTATATATTTTTAAAAAGAATAGTCAGCAAAAGAAAATAAAAAAATCAGATACACTAACTAAAAATAATAAAGATAAATAAATACAATAAAAAAATAAAAACAAAAACTGTAAAACACAACTCACTTTTTACTACCGCACAAAATTTTAATATAATATATATTATATGTATTACATTTTCTATGCTTTTCTATCTTCTATTATAATATAGTAATTTTTTTTCAATAAAAACTTTTATATGTTGTCAAATGTCATATATTTGTTCTATACATATAAAAAATTTTGTCAAAAAAAAAAGAATTCAACTACACTAAATAAAATAATAAAGACAATTATATACAATCCACAAAAAAAGCTGTAATAGAAATTCTACAACAATCCATATATGACAAAACAATACAATAATCTACAAACATAATTCACTTTTATCACCACACAAAATCTCAATAAAGTTCTCTATAGAATACACTATGAGAGAATTCTTTTTAACCAGTCAACTAGAAACAAACTGCATCTTAAAATCACATGTATACTCCGTCAAGAATAGAACATCAACTACATAATCCCTTTTACCACTGATCAAATACTACAAGTAAATAAATCTATTTTCAAAGATATAATTAGCTTCTACCTCACTCATCATGATATGGATGACACAATATCAAATACATTAACGAAAATGTTAATAAAACTTCTCCAGACATCTGTACTACAACATTGACCAAATAATACATAATGTTTTGAAGTTTTTCTTGAAATTAAAGATTTCAACTCAAATGTATCAGAAGTCTAGATGTTGTTTTTCTAATCAGGGACTTAGAGAGAACACAAACACAAACTACACAAGAAGGATATGACAATTGTGCTATATATATCTTGATAATCTATAAGAGCTGAAAAAAATATCAATATTTTATTTTGCAATCACAAATTTCATCAAAAATATATTTCAGATTGATTATACTACAAAACAACATATTCTTATTACCAAAGAAAAATAATAAAATATATAGTTTTGCTCTGATAAATTAAAAAAAATCATTAACTAATGATATTATTATTCTATCAATCTTTTAATAAAAAATTAATAAAATATATATTATTTAAAAAACAGAAATCAATATTTATCAAAAAAATATTTACTAACAAATATCATAAATTTAATTATAAATTAAAATATTTAAACTATCATAAAACTGTGTAACGCAAGGACCTTCTCTTAGTAATTAAATAAAATTTGGTCTCTCAAAAGTCAAGTAAACAATTCTAAGAATTTTAAAAAACGATGCATGTACTCAGCCGTTCCAAGTTCTCATCAATTAATGATTTTGAAATATCATTATCATTGAACTAGAAATCCACCTAATCGGATAAATAAATAAGGGTTTGGGAATTTAAAAAATAATATTTTTATAAGTTTTGGGTTTTGAGATTACAACAAGATACGTGAACAAAGACATTTAGCTGAGTTGAAAGTAAAAACTCCTTGTGGGGATATCATTGTCAGTTGTTACTAACTTTCCCTAATCTATTTCATCATCTTCCTCTTTTATGGAAGAACCATAGCACCACTCTTCTCTTTTGTGAAGAATGATTTGAAAGGTTATATACCTCGATGACAATTCAAACTCATTTATTCGCTTGCCTTGACTAGCAAAAAACTATATTGATAATTCTGACACTTAAACAAGTCCGAACTTTGAAAATTGACATTCTATAAGTAGTTTTAAACTCTTAAAAATTGTTTAAATCGTTTATTCACGAATCTCACTCGATGGAGCAGAGCTCCGAGATATTTTTAATGATATTATCTATCTATCTTATTTGTTTAATGTCTTTCTATTCAATTAAAGAGCCCCCATGTTTTGATGTGTTAGTAAATTGTAATTAGAACTGCACATAAATAATAATTTGGAATAAAAAATCTTTTTTTTTTGTCGTGGAATAAAAAATATAATGTCTCGTTTTTCCATAATAACGCCAGAAAAAAGAATTATGTCAGCTATATTTTTGGTTGAAAATTGCTGAATCCGTGAAATCCTAAATATATAGTCGAAATTTTCAACCGATTTAGAAATTTTCAAAAAAAAATTAAACCGTTGAAAATCCGCTGAAATATGTCACGAGATTGAACCAATACCTTGATTTATTTTTCGTTTTGTTTTTTTATAACTTTTGTCTCATTTATAATTAATTACTGATACAAAGCAAAAAACATACCTCCACAACCTGGGTCCCCCACCTCGTAGAAGTGTGTCTTTATCTACACTTTTTGTCCTTTGTTTCCTCTCTCCCCCACCATTCTTTCTCCGGTTCTTCTTCTCCTTCTTCTTCCTCTCTGCTTCTTTTTATAACCCTTCTCATGTCTTCCTCCTCTTCTTCTTCCGACAACGGAGATTCCGGCGGTGGTTCTATCTCCGGCGCCGGTAGAAGCGGCGGCGTTTTCGAAGCCCCATCTCCATCTCGTCCTCGACACAGCGTCAATGACGTCTGGCCTGAGCCTTTTCTCGAATCTCTCGCTGTCCAAGTCGCCGTTGATGCTTCCTTGACCGCCGGCCTCCTTGCCGCAGCACCGGCTCTTGCCAACGTGTTCCGGGTCAGTTCTTAAAATCTCTGCTTTAGTTTCGTAACGTTCGAGACACATTTTATAGAGTAGATCTCACTCGACGTACATGACACTATCGAAATTGGCTTATTATATTTGAGTTTGTTAATACCGCCACATAGATCTAACAAAGACAAAACAAAGTCAAAGTAGTTGTAGGTCTATATAACTTCAGGGGGAGGACACAATCTTGGTCTAGTCAAATGTACTGCTTGTTTCAGGTCTTGTACTTTAGTTGTTGATTCTATAAGCTTAGATTTGATTTTGCATATCTTTCTTTTTTGGTATTATCTGATTACCTGTTAGATATGTTTTTCCTTATTCCAAATCATAAATTCATAACTAAGTGATTCAAGTTACATTGAGTGTGAAAGTAGTTTCAAAGGATTGGATTATGAAGAGACAAAAAAAATAAAAATAAATAAACTGACCTTTGGAAAGGTAACCGCCCTTTCTGTGTTTTTATGATGGGTCCAAGTCCAACTTTTATGTCTTAACAAGACGACATTAATTTGATGTCTCTTTCACATATCATATGGTTTTGGGACTTTGTTTTTCTTTTTTACGTTTGGAAACTTTTTGTCTTCCATTTACCCAATAAGTTTATTTCTTTGTTCTCTCGTCAACTTTTGATACCTTTTAATGTCTATTTTAGGATCCACACAGGAGACCATACAACCCCATTTCGTTTGTGTATCTTTGTGAAATTGGGACATGTAAACTTCAATATTAATATTATAATATGGATTGGATCCCTTAGGGCACAATATCAAGGTTTTTCATAATTGTTGGCTTTAAGATCTTTCTTTCTTGGCATGAAGAAAAACCTTCTTTTTTTAAGATCAAGAAATTCACTTTTTGACTCAAAAGTCCTTACAACAATAATCAACTGTAAGCACTTTCTTGACTCCAAAAATTATCGATAGACATTAAGCACAGTCTTTAATCCAATGCCCGATACATTTAAAATTTCTTTTTATCTATTTATAACGGTATTTTCCTTTCGAAAATCTGAAAATAAAATCTTAGAAAGTGACCTCTCGAGATAGACTCATAAAACTAGAAAATGTCGTTGCACATTTAAGAACATCTAAAAAGAGAATGGAAAAGAAACCTAAGTCAGGTTCTGTCATTTTGCCTTGCCAATGTTAGTCTTATATTACCACATTAGGTTGTTATCGACATATATTCAAACTCTATTCATCAACATGTACATGATTAATGTATCATATTATCAGCCATACATATTATTCTTTTCAATAATTCAATGTCATATATGAAATTGCTGCATTTTTGTTTATCTATATATAATCTGTAATGTTTCGGCTATTTTTCATATCTAGTTACGAGGAATAGCATATGAGTACATATGTACATTTTTTGCGTCCTGCTTTTGTTATTTTTTTCTCTGCTAATATTATGATCCAGTGAGTAATGCATGCAGAGCTTCTGACATTTTCTCATTCTCTTTTTTCTTCTCTCTCTATATGTAAGTATTTATCGATTCCACGGTATTTTCAAATAACTTCAAAATCTTCAAATTTGCATTAAAATATATATATATATATCAAGAAACTGCAGTGTGGTTTACAGCATACCACTTTTGTCAGAGATTTAAGGGTATAAATAGAGTTTTCATTGTTGTTTTTCACTTTGAATTTGATCATGGATTCATCTTTTCCATCGAAGTGGGTTTTATCTTTTGTTTCTTTCCTTAATATTTTCAGTCAAAAGAGATGACAGTATGGGCACGACATATGCCAAAAAGCACATGGAACCCAATGTTAAGGGTCTCTTAGAGCACGTGGTGCTCTAGATTATATTATGTTCTTACATTTGATAATATATGACACTAAATGCAAAAGTGATTTTCTGAAAATGTGGTCATCTTAGAAATCAGAAATAGTTGAACTATTCCTTTCCGTTTACGTGCTTATATATAATATCTTAAAAACATGTGATTATTGACTTTTGATTGGTAATTTGGAGAGTAATAGAATGAATTTCAACTTCTATACTTTATTTTTACTTATTACTTCACTAATTTATTTTTTCCATTTTGCAAGTTGACTGATAAAAATTGTAGTATCATGGTAAATATTAGTTGGTGCCCTAGATTATAGTTGTTGTCTTGATAAGACTAATAGACATTAACCTTTGGCTTCGCTAGTTCTATTTTTCTTATAAAACTGAGTTTCTAGAGCGTATAGTACTTTTGCGTTCAATGATGAATAGATAAAGACAATAAACAAAACAGTATAAACGTAAGTGTGGAGAATGTAGGTCCACGGATTCTTGGAGAGAGATGAGAGAGAATACATATATTAAGTGTAAAATTTGTGTATTTATGGGAAGCTCTACTTTTAACAAGAGAAAGGCTTAAAGCTACTCTTTCTTGGAAATGAAAGAAGAGAAGGGCACGCTTGTTGGCAATGTCGTAATCTCATGTTCAGCTCAACTCTGTTACTTCCTATCATTTAATATCTTCATCTGTCCTCTAATAAATTTACATTGTCTCAAAATACAAATCAATAACCATATCATTTGTATTATTGTGACATGAGACTAGGGCTTCTCTCGTTATTCCTTTTACTAGGGCTTCTGTTGTAAAATCTGTAGCTTGCAGAGATTGATTAGTCGCGTCATAGGACTTAAAATGAGTTGTATATTCGATGAGTAAGACAGTAAGACAAATATACGCAGAGCTTGTGTCTGAGTCTGTCGTTGTCTTTGCATACTTCCTAGTCCCTATATAGTCTTTCATGCTTCGTTGCAGGCCTACTTATTATCTTCTTTCTATGTCTAATTTTTACTCTTCTAAATTATTTAATTAACCTAACCACTCTTCTTTTTCTTACATTTTTAATTAAAACCCAATAATATTCTCAATTGTATTTTATTTTATTGTCATGCTGTTAAGTTTTTAGGACAAATTGTCAAGCTTTATTATATCAATAAATTTGGTTTCAATTCTCTATTAATCTATCCATCATACAGATTTACTTACTTTACTTGATGTATTGGTTATTAGTAATGTTGAATCTAAACTTGCTATATCATCCTGTGCGCAGGTATGCACCACGTGGCAGGCAGTCTCTCGCTCCGACCATCTATGGCAACTTCTATCTCGCCAAGTTTGGGCAAGAACAAGTTCGATGCACGACACGTGGCGGGACGAGTTTATGTATCGTCATCGGACGACAAGGAACTTCCGGACGCGTACTTGCGTCTATTTCACACTCCATTTTGATCCATCTGACGTAGACGAGCCGGATAGTCTCTCTTGCCGATGTCTCAAACTCTCCGATCTTTATTTAGCCGCCGGATTCGCTGACGGAACCGTCCGTCTATTTCTCTTGAACAACCATCTCCACATCAGGACTCTACGTCCCCCTCTACGAGACCGGTTCGGGAGATTCTCGAGAGCGGTCTCGGGCATCGTTATCTCCGATTCGAGACTAGTTTTTGCCACGATGGATGGAGACATACACGTGGCGGAAATAAACGGTGTTGGTGGTCACACGCGAACCGCTTACGCCGGAGATATCGTTAACGACGGCGCGTTGGTTGATTTCACGGGCTGTGGTCGTTACTGGGTCGGGCTTTTTGCTGGTGTTCCGGGTCGGGCTTTTCACATTTGGGATTGTAACAGCGAAGAGACTACATTTGTCGGCGGTTCACTCACCGATCCTGAAGCTGTTATGGGATGGCACACGTTAACGGAGCTAACGACGTCTCTTGGCCGTCTAAGAATCTCCGGTGGTGAGACAGCGGTTGCGTGTACACGGTGGAGGATCATGGTGATTGATTTGAGAAACCAAGGAGTGATCATAGGGGATGACGAGGAGCAACGGAGAGGACTTATGGTGACGGGTTTTGACGCTAACGAGGAGGCGTACGTTAGGATGGACAGTAGAGGTATCGCTATTGTGCGCAGGGTGAGGACGCAGGAGACGTTGTGTGAGTTCCGTATGAGTGGAGCGGCGCAGAGAAGAGTGATGGGGTGTGTTAATAGACTGCACGCGCTAATGTGCGCAGGAGGAGTTATGCGCGTGTGGGATGTAGAGAGAGGAGAGTATCTGTACAGTTTTAGAGAGAGAGTAGGAGAAGTCGACGCTATTGTTGCTGATGATAGACATGTGGCGGTTGCTTCATCTTCATCGACGGCTGTGAGTACTATACATCTATGGGATTTCGGTGCACTGTAGCGCACTAGATTATTACGTGTTATTATTAAAAAGAAAAGGAAGAAGCATTTTCTCTGAAAAAGCGAAGCCCTAAACCTAGGTGTATATGTAGGGTTTCTGAAATTTAATTTAATTTGGGAAAGTGACGGATTGGAGAAGGTGACAGGAGGGTGAGATTTGCAAGGGAAATTGATTCTCTCTACAGAGTTTGACCAAAAGTATGTTACTGTTTTTGTCTAAAACCAAACAAAGTGGACTTTTTCTCATCGCTTTTTTTTTTTTTTCCCTGATGTTTTGGGTTCTCTCAATTCTGACGTTGTACGAGATGTAGTTTGTTTTTTTTTTTTTTTTTTTTTTTTTTTTGCAATTCTTCCATTTCTAATATTGGCTTGTGCAATTGTTAAAAAAAAATATTTATCTAAAGAATATATTTAATACGATGGTGGGCACTTCGGTTTTTGGTTTGGTTTCGGTTCGATTTTTTCGATTTTATGGTTTATCGGTTTTACAAAAATTCAAATCATATAAAAGTTATATATATTTCGATTCGGTATGGTTTGGTTTTTTACGGTTCGGTTTGATATGGTTTGGTTTCAGTTTTTTTTAATTATACTATTACGAAAATTTTTGATTCAAACTAATAGAATATAATAATAATAATTGCTATGAGTGAAATAAAACAATAAGTTCAAAAAATAGAATCTAAATCATAACAAATTCATCAATAATGACAGATTTCAAAACAAAGAAACAAACAATGTATCAAATCTTTCATAATCAATAATTATAAAACAATAAACAAATCTATATTAAAATTTAATGCCTAGAACCTTGAAACTAGAACTAGAAGACTTGAATGTGAAGAAAAAAGAGTTAGTCACGTTTTTTTATTGAAAATTAAGGTTTAATTTATTATTTATATGTAGATATTTTTTATAAATATTATATTTTAATTTTATAAGTTAAGTTAATAAATTATAAAGATAACTATGCCCATACTAAAATATGTACCTAAACAAAATTAAGAAACTAGAAAAATATAAATAATTTAAAATTTAGTTTAAAAACCGAAAAAACCTTTTGGTTTGACGGTTTTTAACCAAACCAAACCTAAACCAAAACTATAAAAATATGATGGCCAAACGGATTTTTAGGTTTTAACCATAACCAAACTATATCACTTTTTTCGGTTCGGTATAGTTTGGTTTTTTCGGTTATGGTTTTTGTGCTCACCCCTACGATGGTGTACATACAAATAAGATCAAAATCGAAGAAGGGCTAAAATTGTTAATCATGAGATCCAGACTTAACCATTTCTAATGTATTTCTCTATTTTCTACTTCAAAATAGAGTAATTATAAAATGGAGTTGTGTTTTGTTCCAATGTATATTTTCATGTTTACTTCAAAAAGAAATATTCTAAATAAATTTTTATTCTATTTTATTATTAATATTTTTTAGTTTTCAAATTTACAAATAAATCCTACTTATTTTATTGTTTACAATTTCTTTCCAAAATTATAAATTAAATATTTATTAAATAATAAAAATTACATAATATCACAAAAAGCATATGCAATTTTATTAAACATTAATATTACTGAAATTTATATCATTAATTTCTCTAATATATGTTGTCTTAAATTTATTTATATTGTTTATCTTAATTTCAGCACTTATTATGTATTTTTAAGTTTATTGTATTTTGCAATCTTTTCTAGAAATAATTATAGTGTTTAAATATTCCTAATTATCAGTTTTATAATATTTATAAATATTAAATAGTATAACACATAATTATTTCAAATCTAATTAATTTACAAATAAAAAAGTTTAACTCTAAAATGGAGTAGAGTTTAGATCTACTCCACATATGGAGTAGAATTTAGGTTTACTCCATTTTGGAGTTGAAAATAGAGTAGAGTTGGAAATGATTTTACTTCAAAATAGCATTTGGAGTTCAAAATGAAATAGGGTTGGAGATGTTCTTAAGGATGGCACTGGATTACTATTTTTTTTGTCATATGTTATTATTAAACATTTAAAGAAAAATACAAAGAAATATATAGTGGTAGAATTCTAAGCCGGCGGAACAACAAAATATCTTCAGAAACAAAGTCCAAAAAAAAGGAAGCAAAGCCGGCGGAAAACCAAAATTTCTCGAAAACAAAACCCATAACTAAAATAGAATAAAATTAACTAAAACTCAAACAAAGATTAACACCAAAACCTGCTGAATTACATAAATTTTGAGAGTGATTTACTGTTGTCGCCCACGGCCCACAGCCCACCGAACAGTAACATCATCTTCTAGTAACCAGGAACCAAAGACTTTATAACCCGGCAAGACAGAACCACTAACACTTCCGGATGCGGCAACGGCATAAACATGTGTGCCCATTTTTCACCTAAATAGAAGTCCCAAAGAAACAGCCAAATCTCAACAGATATGGAGAGAAGCGAAGCCTAACCAGTAAAAGCTAGAAAGTGATCATAGAAACTCCAAAAAAAATAAGAAAAACATGCAAGTTTGGAATCAAAACACCAAGAAAAGAAAAGTTAAAATATATATTTAGAAAGGGAGAACTAGATTAGACAAAAAGAGATCAATAATCGCAGATTAGTTATAGATCTGATAAAGCAAGCTTCATCAAAACTCAGAAAAACCAAATCCAGATCAGATCTACTCAAGTCAGAAACTTAAACACAAAACCATAAAAAAAAAAAAAAAATCCAAACCGAAATCATGGCTGTGAAAGCCCATGGCTCGGCTGGAAACTCAACATACGAGATCTAGTTTTTTTTTTCTTTCTTAGAGAAAAGACGGTGAGAAGAGAGAGAGAGTCGGTGACTGGATTAATATTTATATATAATTATTCTTCTTTTTTTTAATATATAAATTATTTAAGGTAAATATACAAATATTAAATTTATTTAAAATATAAAAAACTATATATAATTGATCATAAAGTATTTAATAAAGATAAAAATAACATTAATATGTATACGTAAATCATTTATATTATGAAACAAAATAAAATATTCAAAATAATTTATATTATGAAAGAGAGAAAATATTAAATTTGATATCTAAGTAACATTTCTTGAAAAAGATGATGATTGCGTTCATCAAGATCACAGAAATTGTAACATGGAAGATGAAAAAGAAGAAAATTCAGATGATTAGAAGCGATCCAGTTTTGAACAAAAAAAAAAAAAAAGAGGCGATCCAGTGTCTAATTGGAATTCGTCCATTTGGTTTTATACCAAAAATGATTACGTCATCTAGCAACATGTCCAAAATATAAGCACATCCTATCAAGCTATAACAATTAACAACCACATAACAATTAACAACCACATAATATAATGTGATTTGTTAAACATTAATATTATAACTTTACTTACTATTTAAACTATTCAAGATATTGATATTAAACATTGATATTATAATGTGATTTGGATATTGATATCATATATCCAAAACAACGTTGATATTTAAACACAGTTTCTTCCTTCCACTTTGCACCTGTATTACACTTTCTTTTGGATATGCAAAAAATAACAGAAATGATTAGGAAAAACTATTTTTTTTTTTTTGTTCAACTGATTAGGAAAAACTAATTAACCTTCAAAAGATCTATCAATCGAGTAAACTCAATTTATTGGTGACCTGAATATTTACTCTGCGATATTTTCTTGGGAATAAAAGTCGTATACTACAAAAATAGTGTCATTGGCAATATTTATGATCGACTTTGTGTCGATGGTAATTCATTGCAAAATTGTGATGGCAAAACGACGGACAATTTTATCATAAAGGAGAGATATTGGGAGATAGATTTTTATAAAGTTATTTGATTTTAAAAGTTGATAAATTTATTAAATATGTAAAGAGTTTTGTTAGATAAAGAGAATTTGTATATTTAGAAAATGTATTAAAATATTTTAATATGATTGATTTTGAGAATTTTTAAAATATTTAAAAAATTTTATATTGTGTGTTAATTAGTTTAAAATCAAAATAAAATAAAATTATAGAATTTTTTAAAATTCAATCTTTTTGAAGAACAATGGATTTTATATGGTTTTAAAATTCATCAAACCAATAACAGCGGATTTTAGTAAGAATATCAGAATCTATTAACTAATAACAATAATTTTTGAAAAATTTAAGAATTTGTTGAAATCTATCTTTTAATTACCCTTCTCTCTTCCTTTTAATAATGTCGTCTATCCATTTAAAGTTTTTCTTTTAATTTTACAATGATTTATCAAAAATTTATGAAATATTATAAAAAAAACATTTTTAAATAGTAAAATTGATAGATTAAACTTAATTAATTTTATTGTTTGGAAATAAATTATAAAATGTTTGCGGAGATATTTTTTTCTGGATAACAAAGTTGAGTTTCCGAGTTTTGTCTTCTGTGGGACGAGCGGCATGCGGTTCCATAGAGAAAGTTTGGATGGGTCTACATATACTCGGACACGAGAAAGTCGGACCTTCGGAGGGACTGGAAGAGGGTTTCCTTCTCGAAAGTTCTCCAATGCTCAAGTCAATGCACACCCTATTAGGAACAAAAACTTGGGAGGGTAAGTATGTGGAATTGTTTATGGTTTGAATATCCCGTACGAAAATCGTGATTTCCGTCTGATGTTTGGTAAAGGTGGAAGCATAATGAATGGACCATGAATAGAGCGGGGTATGAACTCTCTTTATATGGATGCAAAGTAAGGGGTAGAAGGAGAATGGGACGCTTTTCTCGGCTGGCGTTTTTTTTCGGGGGACGACAAGCGTACCCCCTTCAGTCTCGTTGTCTGAGCGGGACCAGAGCGAGCTCTGGTGAGGTCATGATCGGGAGTTTCTCCTCATCCTCCCTTTATCTCTCTATTCTAGTGTTTTCTCTATAAAATCGGATTTGTCCGGGTTCACGTCCCTTCGTTTTCTGGCCTTGGCTTCCTCTTTATACATCTTTTCTTCCTGTCATGTTCCATCAATGCAGCACATGTGGGAGCAGGTGGGCTGGTGCAGCACGCCTTTGACATGGAAAGCTCGCCAATTGCCCGAGAACAATTTGTTGGGAGCAGCTGGCAAGCCTAGGCGAAGAAGTCAGCGCTTGGGTAGGGTCCACTTATGATGTGTTGCCTTCGGGTTGGTCACGGTGAAAGTGGACCTAACAATTGTCCCCGACTTTTCGACTAATTGGAAATGAGTCGGCGAGTCGACACTATCAGCATTACTGCAAAATAACCAAAGTTTGTTTAATACCCAAAGATTTTGGCTGCTTTAGAGCCGTCTAAGAACGGTTCATCCCGACCCTGCTGTGCATTCCGAAAGAGTACGGGTCTAGCCGA